AGAGGAAGGGGATTAGTGAACTTGAAATGTTTACCGGTATTCAAACATATATCGAAGTAATCCAAGAAGTAATTGCTGAAAATATCAAAACAGATATTTTTGAGCAGTCCAATTGACATCTGAAAACCTAATGCAAAGTTCAGGAGCCTATGTTAAGTCTTGGAGCAGAAGTGGAAGCTGGCAGAGGTGGAAGAATATGTCTCATCGTTCCTCCAGTACCTATCCAGGAGCAAACGGTTTGTCTTGCTGAAGTCATAATAGATGAGCTAGGGAACCTGATTGTTTTCAGTGCTCTGTTCAAATTGACCAGGGCAGAATGTAAAATCTATCTTTCCTTCGTGGTGGCAGTTGCCACTGGTTTGCAGTCCTGTTGGCGAACGCAAGCTTTTATTTTATTTTTTATTTTTTTATTTTTTCGCAAGCTTTTATTTTGGTGTCGGGCTGCAGCCTTTACTCAGGAGCGGCTATTCAGACTTTGCAGGTAGTCCGTTCTCCCTTCCCCATGCATGGATGATGTAGGAGCAGTAAACTGGAACCCTGCCCACACTCTTTAACTTACAACTGATCTGCAGGCGAAGCCCTGGAGGCAGGCACCTCCCTCCTTGGCTTGGCTGGAGCCGGGTTTCATGTTTTCCATGGATGCGGGACGGGTGGCTTTTTCGGAGTGTGCGGCCTCTTTCTGGGCTCTAGCAGCAGTGGAGGAAAAAGGCACATACCTTGAACATAAGTCACTTGTAACATTCTTCCTCTTAACATTTGCAGAATCTTCCTCTGGGTAGGGCTAGCACAAAGGTGAGCTTCAGAGAGGAGCAGTTGGTGTTATAACTCCCTTGGTGTGCAAGAACCCCCATGTGGACCTGGGAGGGTCTTAGCAGTCCCATTTCCAGGCCTCCTGTTTGGCAACCCACAACCAGAAGACATCTACTCAGTTCGAATATTTCTGCCAACATGTGCATTTATTTGTATTAGAAGTACAAATGTAAGAATACAAATACAAATACAGAGGGCGGCCCAGCCCACCCAGAGCAGGGCACAGCGGGGATCAGACCGGTGAAGCGGGGCGCAGCGCTGCCCGTGTCGCTAAGGCACATTAGGCACGGAGTGCCTGCTTTTCACTAGGACACCACGAGCTGGCCAACTAGCAAGGAGTAACATCCTTGGCAGAGTGGAGGAGGACAGCAAGACGCGGGACCAAGAGTCAGAATCTCCAGTCCCTCACAGGACGACAGTAGAGCAAGGACAGTTTGAAACCACTTGACGAGGGCGGGGACCCTGGCCTGGGCCTCAGCCCACTTCCGTAGAAAGGGACCAGCACACACATTTGTTCAGGGCAGCTCCCCTCCCTGGGTCAGGCTCCTCTACGCTGAGCACTCAATGCAAATTCCTAGAGGCTCTAAGATTCTGATATCCATCTCCCTTCCTCTCACTTGGAGGAGATGACTTCACAGGCAGGAAGAATTCCATCCAGGAAGAGAGCAGACATGTGCATCTTTTCTCCCTTTCTGCCTGAGGCATGTCTTAGGGCCCCATTTTCCTTTACACACAAGATTCCAAAGGAGAAGACAGCACACTATGGCTCTTACACGTGGCACAGTTCACACTAGACTCGGTGCTTTCTAACATTATAGGTGAAAGCTGTGTCCTAAACAAGCGGTACAGTGGCTATATGCAACCTACATCTTGAAGAACTACTTTTGGCTTATCAGTTAAAATAGACCACAAAGCACAAATGACCAGAAAATCACTCAGGTTCACACTAGTGAAAAAGTGATGCTCTTAGTAGAATGCAGGTTTGTTTGGACTCCAAAACAACTTCTGATCACGTATTAAACTTGATTTTCTTTTTAAAGAAAGAATGTGGTCCCACTCTTCCAAGAAATATATTGTCAGTTCCTGTGTCTCTCTTTTTTCCTTAAAATTGTTAAAGAAGCTAATATGATATTATTAAGAAACTGTGCTCCTCTTTGTTTCAACTATGTTTGGGGTAATACAATTAGAGTAATACACACGCTAATAAGTTTTTCTTGTTTTACCACTGTAATGGGGACACAAATTCACACATCACTACATGTAAACACAAGATGGCCTCTTACTCTTCACAAGACAACACAGGCTTAATCCCCGAAAATTTCTGCTCTCTTAGAATCACAGAGAGAATGCATTTGTGAAGAATGAATATTTCATTTAATACAGGAGCAGCTTGTAAAGAAAAACATCATGTAGTTGCACATACATATGTGTGTAAATTAGTCATTTTGAAGGTCAGGAATGATTGAAAGTATCCTTTTAAATGTCTTGAGTTAATCTAAAGATCTAATGAATAATACTGTAAATATCAACAATATATTTTACCTGTGCCTATTTCTATCCAAAAGTAAAAAGTCCAAAGTATATCAGACTTGTTAGACCTAAACTGTGTAATAAGAAGCATATTGATATTCTTCATGGACTAACAAAATCAGAGGTATACACACAGAACATTCTTCTTTGGAAAAAGAGCTCTTAGCCAATTTAAATTTGACTTCATGAGAAGCAATTAAAAAGCCAAATTCAGTAAAAGCAGCAACAAAAAACAAAACATAAAGCAAAAACAAAACAAAGCCCAAAAGCAACCAAAGAAAAATTAGATGGAACATCTTCCTAAAGAGTCATTTTAAATTCTGATTGAGGCAATGTAGACAGGACTTCTGAGACAAAGAGAAGCTCTGGAAATGTTTTAGGCGAGCAAAAGTTTGAACTATGATCTGCATGTTTTGTATTTAAAGTGAAATCAAACTTTTCTATTTTTAAGTTCTAATTTTGTTATGGTTTGGAAAAAACAAACCTTTCTGCTGAATGCACAGCTAAAGACTAGCATGGAACATAAAAAAAGACATAGATGATTATGTTGATGGTGTTGGTGGTGGTGGTGGTGATCATGATGATGATGATAATGCTGATATAGCATATTTTATTTCTTCTAAAATCCTATAATATTCTGCTGCCAACTTTAAAATGTAGTCAGCAAATTATGAATTTTCTATCAATACTTATCTTTTAATTACATTGGAAGTCACTTCAAACTGAAGCTTTTTCTCTTTTCTTTTTCTTTTATTCTTTCTTTTTTTTTTTTTTTTTGTGCTATGCGGGCCTCTCACTGTTGTGCCCTCTCCCGTTGTGGAGCACAGGCTCCGGACACAGAGGCTCAGGGACCCCGCCACTTTGTGGCATGTGAAATCTTTCACTGGCAAATTCAGTCTCCTCCAGAACTTCTTTTAAGAAATAATAGATTGAAAGTCTTCATGTTGTTAGAAGCTATAAAGTAGGGGACTGTGTTTGAAGAACAACTTGGGCTGCCTCCTTGAGTGGAATGTGGTCAGGAGACCTCCAGAGCCCTTCTCTGTGGAATTGTGTGAGGTTGATGTATTAGGGACAGGGTGAGACTGCTAGTAGGTGAAATTCTCCAATTGAAGAGAAATTTCGTTTAGGCCAATAAGTTCAAACTCTTTCTCTACAAATACTCATTGTTACTATGTTTTAAATTGGACTCTCTAAATAAAAGCCAATTGGCTTGTGGCCTATGTAGCAACTAAAACATCAAATGGCAGGAAGGAAGTTGACGGGAAGAAACTCAGTATCTCACATTAAATAGACATCCTTGAAAACTGCGTGATAAATATCAGTACATCTGCTTTCACTTGATACTAAACCAATAAATTAATTTCAACTTCTTCTTGTCTCTCCCACTCATGTCGTCTATCTTCTGCATTCAGTAAAGTGTATGAAATTAGCACTTTTCTATATTTTTTCTTCATAATGTTTTATCTTTTTTCTGAGTAATATATGTCCAAATATATAATTAAAATAAAATGTAATTTCCAATAAAACAAATACAATTTTCTGGATAAGAAGAAAAACACAGTACAAAAATTTTAATAATGCCAACAGATATTTATCTGTTAACTTACCGGTAGGACTTTTTCTTTTTCTGTCAACGGTGGAAAGCTTCTGAAGAGTCAAATGAAGTACATACTAGATTCCAGTTATAATAAAGAACTAAAATCAAGAAGCAACTTGGCCTTGTGTTATAAAAATACTAAAAGAGTAATAATTTCAAGGTTTTTAATTTGGAATCTTGCTACATATCCATATTTCAAAGTATAAAATAATTTTTTCTTCAAACTGTATCATTGATTGTAGCTATTTCCCATTTTTTTGGTTCTAAAGTTGTTTTGACTTGAAACAATAGTCACTAAGAAAATTTTGTAAAAATTCTATCTATATTTCTTTCACACACAGGAAAACAATTTCAAAACAATGGCTTGTGAATGCTGTATACCCATTTTTGGAAGATAATCATTAAACCCATAATAGCATATACTGTGGGGTTCACCTTCATTTAGTAAACATAACTCAAGGTAAAATGTTGAACTACTGGTGTTCAAAGATATTAAACATCTTTAGCTACATGAGAATTTTCGAAATTCAATTTTTTCTCAACTGAAAACTTGTGGATGATGCATATACGTCTTTCCCAAGCCTAGGGTGAAGTTATTAGACAGCAGAATGCCAACCTGTGAAGATAATGTCAGCGCCAAGAGGCCACAGAGAGAGGAAACTGGGTGGTAACTCACTGCGGTTCACACTTGAACTCAGACTGCCTGGGCGCTGAGATCTGTAGAGTGTATCTTGGCTAGCAGTGACTTAGCATACATGGACACCGGTGCTGCCAAGGGTTGCAAAGAAAAGATACAGAAAGTGTTGGGGCCTAAGACAGCTTCTCAGATATTTGCCTGTAAGTTTCACAAATTTCTTCACAAGGAAAAATCGCAGCTGCTTCCAATATCCAGATAATATATCACCACGTTTCAGATTCAGTAAGGATTAGAAAGAATATCACTTTAAAACTCAATTAACCTGTTTGTGTGCTCGCGTTTGTGTGAGCCTGAAATACATAATAGAAATATTAGCCACATACTCCTACGCTGCTCAAAGGTATTACATAATTTCAGATAAACTTAGTATCTTTCCTTGCTACTCCAATTGATCACTATTGGTCTGGGTAGGGCCAAAGTTTAGAAGGAAACTTAACACTCTTCACTTTCCACCAGGAGGAAAATTTAGAGATACAGGTATCCCACCCAATAGACCAAGTTGAAGAGCAGGAACGATGTAGGGAAGAAGACCCGAGAATATGAGTCTAGTTCCAAGATGTCTATGTGAATACGCCCTTTTCTCCAAGATCCTGATTTGCATTCTTCATAGCAGCAGAAGAAGCTCTGACAGTCTTTCCCATCCAGACACTCATAGACACAGGTATCTTCAAATTCCTGCCAGTACATGGAATTGTTTAGGGTAACCATTGCCGGTGGTGGTGGACTCACATCAAGGAGACAATAGTTCTGCTGGCAACAAGAACAACACAAATAACATGAGATGAGTCAAGAACAGCCCAAGGTGTATTAAGCAATAAGTACAGTATATGTCTGTTCAATAAATAAAGAGGACAGTGTCATGCCTTATGCCCATCCTGTCTGTTCAATAAATAAAGAGGACAGTGTCATGCCTTATGCCCATCCTCATTCCTGCTCTGAAAAGTTGTCTTTGCAAATTTAATACAAGAAAAACTACAGTGAAGTTTACAAATCTTGTATTTTTTGGTTACTGGTAAGGGAAAATAAGCCTATTTTCAAATGTGTATTTGCAATTTCGAGTCCCTGTTCTGCCTACTTCTCTTCTGATTTGGTGTATACACACACACACACACACACACACACACACATATCTATATGTATAAAATTCCGCAAAAGTAAAATAATACATATAATAAATTATGGAGAAGTAAAGTTCTTTTTTTCTAATTATTAAACACTTTTTTTAAAGTGTATAAGGATGTTGAGAGAATCCTCTTGTTCCATGGAATTCAGGTGAAAAGTGTGTTTTCAGTGTGTGGATACCAGACATTACTTGTCATCCCTAGATAGCCAAAATTTGTGTACAATTGGAATGTTATGTTTCTACTTCACAAGATCTCCTGATGTTGGAAGTCAGTATGGAGCGGATAAGGAGACAGGACAATTTACAGTGACACATAAATGAGAATAGTTTGATTAAATATATTTGTAGCTCTCTGGAGCCAACCACAGAGATGCAGGTAGAGATGTTAGAGCATTCAGTATTACTACTGGTAGACTTTGGGGACATCCTATTAATTGGGAAGTGATTGTGTGTGAGGACCGACATTAATCAAGATGTCCTCGAAGATGGCGGCGCCCAGGCGGGCCTTGCCGAGTTGAGCTGGAGCCGGGCCCAGAGAGTGACGAGTCTGCCACGACCAGAACTTGGACTCCGGGCTGGTCTCCCGTCTCCCGGGGAGCGGCGGACTTTTCTTGGAGAACTGCCAGATAATGCTTCCTGCCTCCTCACAGGCCCCCGGGGAAGAGTCCCCCAGGGACTCAACTCCAGTAAAGCAGGTGATTGGTTCACGGCCGAGTGAATGAAAGGCTCTTGCTGCTCCAGCCAGGAATCAGGACTCTGCCTCTGAGGTGGGAGAGCCAACTTCAGAACACTCGTAAAAACCCTGCAGAAAGTGGGGGTAGAGGGAACTTTCCTCAATATAATAAAGGCCGTATATGACAAGCCCACAGCCAACATCCTCCTCAATGGCGAAAAACTGGAAGCATTTCCACTAAGCTCCGGAACAAGACAAGTTTGCCCACTCTCACAACTCTTATTCAACATAATTTTGGAAGTTTTAGCCACAGCAATCAGAGAAGAAAAGGAAATAAAAGGAATCCAAATCGGAAAAGAAGAAGTAAAGTTTGCAGATGACATGATACTATACATAGAGAATCCTAAAGATGCTACCAGAAAACTACTAGAGGTAATCAATTAATTTGGTAAAGTAGCAGGATACAAAATTAATGCACAGAAATCTCTGGCATTCCTATATGCTAATGATGAAAAATCTGAAAGTGAAATCAAGAAAACACTCCCATTTACCATTGCAACAAAAAGAATAAAATATCTAGGAATAAACCTACCTAAGGAGACAAAAGACCTGTATGCAGAAAATTATAAGACACTGATGAAAGAAATTAAAGATGATACAGATGGCGAGATATACCATGTTCTTGGATTGGAAGAATCAACATTGTGAAAATGACTCTACTTCCCAAAGCAATCTATAGATTCAATGCAATCCCTATCAAACTACCACTGGCATTTTTCACAGAACTAGAACAAAATATTTCACAATATTATGGAAACACAAAAGACCCCGAATAGCCAAAGCAATCTTGAGAACAAAAATGGAGCTGGAGGAATCAGGCTGCCTGACTTTAGACTATACTACAAAGCTACAGTAATCAAGACAGTATGGTACTGGCACAAAAAGAGAAAGATCAATGGAATAGGATAGAAATCCCAGAGATAAACCCACGCACATATGGTCACCTTATCTTTGATAAAGGAGACAGGAATGTACAGTGGAGAAAGGACAGCCTCTTCAATAAGTGGGGCTGGGAAAACTGGACAGCTACATGTAAAAGTATGAGATTGGATCACTCCCTAACACCATACACAAAAATAAGCTCAAAATGGATTAAAGACCTAAATGTAAGGCCAGAAACTATCAAACTCTTAGAGGAAAACTTAGGCAGAACACTCCATGACATAAATTACAGCAAGGTCCTTCTTGACCCATCTCCTAGAGTAATGGAGATAAAAGCAAAAATAAACAAATGGGACCTAATGAAACTTCAAAGCTTTTGCACACCAAAGGAAACCATAAAGAAGACCAAAAGACAACCCTCAGGTCCGCCTGCCAATGCAGGAGACGCGGGTTCGTGCCCCGTTTCGGGAAGATCCCACATGCCGCGGAGCGGCTGGGCCCGTGAGCCATGGCCACTGAGCCTGCGCGTCCGGAGCCTGTGCTCCGCAAATGGGAGAGGCCACAACAGTGAGAGGCCCGCATAACGCAAGGAAAAAAAAAAAAAAAAAAGACAACCCTCAGAATGGGAGAAAATATTTGCAAATGAATCAACTGACAAAGGATTAATCTCCAAAATTTACAGGCAGCACATGAAGCTCAATAACAAAAAGATAAACAACCCAATCCAAAAATGGGCAGAAGACCTAAACAGACATCTCTTCAAAGAAGATATACAGACTGCCAACAAACACATGAAAGAATGCTCAACATCATTAATCATTAGAGAAATGCAAATCAAAACTACAATATCATCTCACACCAGTCAGAATGGCCATCATCAAAAAATCTAGAAACAATAAATGCTGCAGAGGGTGTGGAGAAAAGGGAACAGTCTTGCACTGCTGGTGGAAATGTGAATTGGTTCAACCACTATGGAGAACAGTATTGAGGTTCCTTAAAAAACTACAACTAGAACTACCATATGACCCAGCAACCCCACTACTAGGTATATACCCTGAGGAAACCAGAATTCAGAAAGAGTCATGTACCAAAATGTTCATTGCAGCTCTATTTACAATAGCCCGGAGATGGAAACAACCTAAGTGCCCATCGTCGGATGAATGGATAAAGAAGATGTGGCACATATATACAATGGAATATTACTCAGCCATAAAAAGAAACGAAATTGAGCTATTTGTAATGAGGTGGATAGATCTAGAGTCTGTCATACAGAGTGAAGTAAGTCAGAAAGAGAAGGACAAATGCTGTATGCTAACACATATATATGGAATTTAAGAAAAAAAAATGTTATGAAGAACCTAAGGGTAAACAGGAATAAAAACTGAGACCTACTGGAGAACAGACTTGAGGATATGGGGAGGGGGAAGGGTGAGGTGTGATAGGGCGAGAGAGAGACATGGACATATATATACTAACAAACGTAAGGTAGATAGCCAGTGAGAAGCAGCCGCATGGCACAGGGAAACTGGCTCGGTTCTTTGTGGCTGTCTGGAGGGGTGGGATAGGGAGGGTGGGAGGGAGGGAGACAAAGAGGGAAGAGATATGGGAACATATGTATATGTATAACTGATTCACTCTGTTATAAAGCAGAAACTAACACACAATTGTAAAGCAATTATACCACAATAAAGATGTTAAAGAAATAAATAAATTATGCTCTATGCTTATATAAAAATAAATAAATAAATAAAATAAATTCATACTCAAAACTTAAAAAAAAAAAAAAAGATGTCCTCGTCCTACTGTGCACAAGCCAATAGCCAGATAAAAGCATCATGGTGCAGTTGTCTACTTTCATCTACATTTCTAGGCAATGGGCAGAAATGAAAATTTTGCTCTTAGGTTTTAATTTGGATAAATCTCTTTCTTCTCCCTGAGATGTGTAAATATTACCTGAAGGCTTGCTGAGAAAAACAGATTCTTGGATCTGTTTGAAGTAGTATCTTTCCAACAAGCTCCAGTTGGAAAATATCTACCTTTATTAAAAATAGCACATAAATTTTGACAGTGTTCAGCCAGATTTTCATCATTTTATTTCTTCAACAATTTGTACCTGTGTAGGGTCACACAGAGAATTTCAACAATTACAGGCAAGCAAACCCAACAGAAGGAGATGACTCAAAATGTACGTCAGAAGCCTCTGCACTAGAGAGTCAGAGGGTGCTCATGGAGGTCCCAGGCTAAAAACAGTAAGATATCTATGACAAAACTGCCTATCATCCACCCTATCCCACCCCTCTAGGTGGTCACACAACACCGAGCTGATCTCCCTGTGATATGTGGCTGCTTCCCACTAGCTATTTTACATTTGGTAAAGTATATATGTCTATGTTGCTCTCTCACTTTGTCCCAAATTACCCTTGTTCCTCCTTGTATACTCAAGTCTATTCTCTGCAGTCTGCATCTTTCTTCCTGTCCTGCCACTAGGTTCATCAGAACGTTTCTGATTCCACATATATGTTTTAGCATACTGTATATTTTTCTCTCTTTATGACTTACTTCACTCTGTATGACAGACTTGGGTCCAGTCACCTCACTACAAATGAGTGTTTCACTTTATGACTAATCCATTATACATTTTGTCATATCTTCTTTATACATTCATCTGTCGATGGACACTTAGCTTACTTCCATGACTTAGCTATTATAAATAGTGCTGCAATGAACATTGAGGTACATGTCTCTATATTGAATTATGGTTTTCTCAAGATATATGCACAGTAGTGGGATTGCAGCATAATATGGTAGTCCTGTTTTGGTTTTAAAGGACCCTCCATACAGTTTTTCTTAGTGGCTGTATCAATTTACTTTCCCACCAACGGTGCAAAAGGGTTCACTTTTCTCCACACCTTCGCAGCATTTACTTGTAGTTTTTTGTGTGATGTCCATTCTGACTTGTGTGAGGTGAAAACTTTTAGTTTTGATTGGCATTTCTCTAATGATTAGTGATGTTTATCATACTTTCATGAGTTTGTTAGCACTCTGTATATCTGCTTTGGAGAAATGTCTATTTAGGTCTTCTGCCAATTTATGGATTGTTTTTTGAAATTGAGCTTCATGAGATGCATTTTGGAGATTAATCTTTTATCAGTTGCTTCAGTTGAGTGTTGTTTTTCATATATATATATATATATATATATAGTTTGCTAGGCAAAAGCTTTTAAGTTTCATTAGGTCTTATTTGTTTACTTTTGTTTTTATTTCCATTTTTCTAGGAGGTTGGTCAAATAGGATATTTCTGTGATTTCTGTAAAAGAATTTTCAAAGCTTTTGACATAATTCAAGACCCATTTATGAAAAGACTCTCCAGAAAGTAGACATAGAGGGAACCTACCACAACATAATAAAGTCCATATATGACAAACCCACAGACAAACCCACATCATCCTCAATGGTGAAAAACTAAAAGCATTTCCTCTAAGATCAGGAAAAAATTTGCCTACTCGAACTGTTATTATTCAACAGCATTTTGGAAATTTTAGCCACGGTTTGGAGAATAAGAAATAAAAGGAATCGCAATCGAAAACAAGCGGTAAACTGTCACTGTTTGCAGAAGACCTGATACAACACCTGGAGTACCCTAAAGTTGCTACCAGAAAATTGCTAGAGCTAACCATTGAATTTGGTAAAATAGGATGTAAAATTAATGCACAGAAATCACTTGCATTTCTATACAATAAAGATGAAAATTTTGAAAGAGAAATTGAGGACACATTCCCATTTACCACTGCAACAAAAATAAAATTTCTAGGAATAAACTCCTAAGGAGACAAAAGATCTGCATGCAGTAATTTATGACACTGTTGAAAGAAATTAGAGACGATACAAACAGAAGGAGAGATATATATCATTTTCTTATGTTGGAAGAATGAACAATGTGAAAATATACTACCCAAAGCAATCTACAGGTTCAATGTAATCCCTATCAAACTATCCACGGCATTTTTCACAGAACTAGTATTTTAAAATTCACAGTTTGTTTCGCAACACAAAAGACTATGAATAGTCATAACAATCCTGAGAAAGAAAAACGGAGCTGGAGGAATCAGCATCCCTGACTTCAGACATACTACAAAGCTACAGTAATTAAGATAGTATGTTACTGGCATAAAAACAAAACTAGATGAATTGGAACAGGATAGAAAGCTCAAAGATGAACTCATGCCCACGTGGTCACCTTATCTTTGATAATGGAAGCAAGAATATACAATGGAGAAAAGAAAGCCTCTTCGATAAGTGGTGCTGAAAAAACTAGAGAGCTACAGGTAAAAGAATGAAACTAGAACACTTCTTAACATCATACACAAAAATAAACTCAAAATCGATTATAGACTTAAATATAAGGCTTGACACTATAAAATTCTTAGAGGAAAAAAATAGATATTTTAATTAACTAGTATCCAAGGTCACCTTCTGTCCAGCTACGTTCATTCCCGCGTCATGCCCGTTTCGCCTGTTTGTATATTGCAGCAATGTGACTTTCTCAGAACCGCTCTGTTTCCTGGCAGCAGGTACTACTGCACACTCAGAGTGGACTAGCCTTGCATATTATGGGCTGGGAAACCGAGGCACAGAGTTACTTGGACAACTTGCCCCAAAGTAATGTATGGTCTTCAGTGGAGCCTGCTGCTGACCCTAATCGCAGAGCGGTTGCTCATCTCTGCTTTTCCTTTTCGGAGGTATTGGCCCCTCAACTAAACTAACGTGGATGTTTCAGAATAGAGTTGAAGACATTGTCAGCCAACTCCCCCTTCTTCTTTCTTCTGAACTTCTGTTGAAGTTCTCTCTGTGTCTTTGCACATAGCCTGGAGCTTTTTCTGTCTGTGAATTGTTTTTCTATGACTTTCTTCAGGGTCATTACACTTTCCTGCTTAAGAAAAATAAATTCTTCCAGGTTCTAGTTATTCTTTCATTTGACAGTATCATTTCTACACCAATGATGTCAAGATTTCTTTCTCCACTCCGAGCACTCTGGCAGTGTGAAGGCTGAGAGTGGAGGAAGATATAATGTGCTCTCCGGCCTCAGGCTATTCGTTCTGATATTTCTTTTATTCAGCATCCCGCGCTCCCACACTTACGCCTTATTTTTCAATGCATTGTTATTTGGCAGCATTTGATGGCCAGAACTATATGTTCACTGTGTAAAAGTGACCTTACTTTCTGTCAGAACTACAATGATACACACTTGAAAAAATTGCTGATGAAAATTGGCTGAAATGCACTGAACATAAGGTGCTGATCAGTAGTTAGAAAACCAATTGTTGTGTATGCTGGGCATAAATTATTGTTAATTTCTGAGTTCACATGTATAAAGAAATACAAATAGTTATATGTAAAAATTTTTATATGATAAAAGCGGTAGCTCACATCAATGATTTAAAGATATATTTTTCAATTTTTCAATAAATTCTTACATTAATCCGTAGTCAATATTCAAGCATATTAATAATTATATATAACAAGTTCTGTTTTAAATTGTGAAGCTTTATTCAATATTTAAGATGATTTATGTTTTCAACATCTCGGCGACCTTTCAGTAGAATGGGTGTTGTGAGGATCAACTAGTTGACACATTCACTGGTGGAATGCATTTTGGCAAAACCTGTGCAAACTTTGGCTTAACCATTCTGCGTCTAGGAATTTATACTAAGTAGTTCCAAGTATGTACAGAACTGTAATGATAATATATTTAAAAGTGAAAAGGTGTGGATTAGCCCTGTGACCAGCCAAGAATGTGCGTCAATCATGAACATATGATAGTTATTAAGATGATCCTATAAATTAATATTTTGACCCAGAAATGTATTCATAATTATTTTTGAATTACAGGAATATATATGGTATACACTTTTACCCGTGGGGGGTGGGGGTAGAAGGAGTGATTTTTTTTTTTTCCCTTTATTTTCCAAATTTTCTGAATTGGACATATTTTAAAGAATTAAGTACAGTTTTGAAGGGAGTACATGCATTATTCATTGGCCTCCAATAAGTGCATATGTAAACAATAATATATTTCAATTGTAGTTTATCCAGAGTTCTCAGAAATATTTGCACTTGCAATGCTATACGTACGGAGGGGGCTTGTAGGCTTAAACGTTCATGAATCCATCTTGAGGAGTCTGGATAGAGTAACTACAAGGAAATCAGAAAAAGTATTTAGGAAACTACTATGGAAATCTGCATCACAAATCACTGGTAAAGAGTAATCTTTAAAGTACAATACTCCACGCCACTGGGAGGTGAAGCTGAAGAGTGCTTGAATGTCACATTCATATCTTTGGAATACCTGTGTCGTTTTTTAGAAGACTTCTTAAACTATATCATATTATATAAGATCCTATGAATAAGAATCATTTAACTCAAACTATCCTCCCAGAAAATGTTTGCTACTGGAACTCACCGATGTCTTTTTCTTAGTGGTAGCTGGTTTTCTACAACTTGAATAGTAGTTGAGGGTAGCATACTCCATCAAAGCAGCAAAGACAAATAAGAAGCAAACGGTCACGAAGAGGTCCATGGCTGTCACATAGGAAACACGAGGCAAGGACTTCCTGGCTATGGTGCTGAGTGTGGTCATGGTCAGCACTGTGGTTATGCCTGCACAGGGAACACAATCCAAATTGTGAAAGGGGCCACACAGAATCACTCCATTCCGACATAGTATTTTATTTTTATGTGACTACTTCTTGAGATTGCATAAATAGAATACATTTAATTGTAATTGTTTAATTTTGTAAGCAACAGTTCCATAAAATGTTTTATTATAGTCTTCACATTAACATTAAAATACCTGAATTAAGTTATCTTCTAGTTTATTCATTCTCCCACTGTTTGACATTTTACCTCTTGAATATATTTTTAATGAAAATACAGTTTTCAGTCCCCGATACCTTTGATCAGTTCCTCATCTCACACTTTTCTTCTGCCCAGATAAACCATTTCTTGTCTCCTTCTTCTCTATGCAATTCGTAAACTCTTTCTTGAAGACTCAGCTGGAATGCCACTTTTTCTGAGGCAAACAGATTTGTAGTACCCCCGGCAGATCTGATAATATGTACAGTTTCACTATTCCCGTACCTTCTATGTATCCTACTCTTCTGCTTTTCACAGAGAATTGCATCTGTCTTTGCGGTACGTCTCCCTGAACAGACTGTGTGATCATTAAGAGAAAAACTGGGGCTTCCCTGGTGGCGCAGTGGTTGAGAGTCCGCCTGCCGATGCAGGGGACACGGGCTCGTGCCCCGATCCGAGAAGATCCCACATGCTGCAGAGCGGCTGGGCCCGTGAGCCATGGCCGCTGAGCCTGCGCGTCCGGAGCCTGTGCTCCGCAAAGGGAGAGGCCACAGCAGTGAGAGGCCCGCGTACCACAAAAAACAAACAAACAAACAAAAAAAAACTGTATCTTGCTCATCTTACTTGTCTATTACCTAACAATGTGCCTAGCATTCTAGGCTTTTCAATAAGTTCTTTGCATAAATATATTTATTCGTTGATTAATTAGTTAACTAATCACACTCAATTCAATCTTTCATATGTGTCGGCAAACACTAAAGTGTTGACCATGCCATCTCTACAGAATCTGTAGGTAGGTATTTTTCACTGAAATTGGGTATTTTTACCTAATTTCTTCAAAACGTTTTCAATCTCATTTTTTCATGTTGGAACACCAGGTGCAGTTGTGTTATACATCTTCATATTGTCCCAAAGATCACTGAGGCTCTGTTCATTCATTTCTTTTGATTCCCTCTCTTCTTCTGATTAGATAAATTTTATATGATGGTTTTCAATTATAAATGACTTTTTCCCCCTGCCATTTTCAACCTGCTCTTAAACTCATCTAGGGATTTTTTTCAATTCGACTATTACATATTTTACTTTAGAATTTCTTTTTTTAATTTACTACATCGGCTATTATCCCTCTGGTCACCTGGTAATTCATTATTTTATTTTAAATCCTTGAGTATTTGTAATCATACATGCTTTTACAAATCTTTTCCTGTAATTGGTATCTAGTCTCATAGCGTTGTGGTCAGAGAAGGTACTTGATACAATTTCACTTTTCTTAAATTTACCAAGGCTTGATTTTTGACCCGATATGATGATCTATCCTAGAGAATGTTCCATGAGCACTTCAGAAAAATGCATATTCTGTTGTTTTTTATCAAATGTCCTGTTGATTCAACATCAGAGTTGCATTTTTTCTACATATTTATTGGCGCATAATTGCTTTACAACGGTGTGTTTCTGCTTTATATCAAAATGAACCAGTTATACATATATATATATGTTCCCATAACTTCTCCCTCTTGTGTCTTGCTCCCTCCCACCCTCCTTATCTTACCGCTCTAGGTGGTCACAAAGCACAGAGCTGATCTCCCTGTGCTATGCAGCTAGCCCACTAGCTATTTTACATTTGGTAGTGTACGTTTGGTACATTTGATAACAGTTTATTCACTGTGTGGCAAGCTATTTTACGTTTGGCATGAAGTTTTCTTTGTGACCTCCTTGTCTGCTTTTGGTATCAGGGTGATGGTGGCCTCGTAGAATGAGTTAAGGAGTGTTCCTCCCTCTGCTATATTTTGGGAGAGTTTGAGAAGGATAGGTGTTAGCTCTTCTCTAAAGGTTTGAAAGTGCCTAGGACGTCACTGATACTGGACTTTGTTGGAAGATTTTTTTTTTTTTTGTATTTTTATTTATTTATTTATTTATGGCTGTGTTGGGTCTTCATTTCTGTGCATGGGCTTTCTCTAGTTGTGGCAAGTGGGGGTCACTCTTCATCGCGGTGCGCAGGCCTCTCACTATCGCGGCCTCTGTTGTTGCGGAGCACAGGCTCCAGACGCGCAGGCTCAGTAATTGTGGCTCACGGGCCCAGTCGCTCCATGGCATGCGGGATCTTCCCAGACCAGGGCTCGAACCCGTGTCGTCTGCATTGGCAGGCAGATTCTCAACCACTGCGCCACCAGGGAAGCCCTGTTGGAAGATTTTTAATCAAAGTTTCAATGTCAGTGTCTGTGATTGTTCTGTTAATATTTTCTATTGCTTCCTGATTCAGCGTTGGCAGGTGGCGCATTTCTAAGTATTTGTCCTTTTCTTCTACGTTGTCCATTTTATTGGCATATAGTTCTTGTAGTAATCTCTCATGATCCTTTGTATTTCTGCAGTGTCGGTTGTTACTTCTCCTTTTCCGTTTTAATTCTCTTGAAATGGGTCTTCTCCCTTTTTTTCCTTGGTGAGTTTGACTAATGGTTTATCAATTATGTTTATCTTCTCAAAGAAACAGGTTTCAATTTTATTGATCTTTGCTACCGTTTCCTTCATTTCCTTTTCATTTATTTCTTATCTGATCTTTATGATTTCTTTCCTTCTTCTAACGTTGGGGTTATTTTGGTTCGTCTTACTCTAATTGCTTTAGCTGCTATGTTAGGTTGTTTAGTCTCTTCAATAAGTGGTGCTGGGAAAACTGGACAGCTACATGTAAAAGTATGAGATTAGATCACTCCCTAACACCATACACAAAAATAAGCTCAAAATGGATTAAAGACCTAAATGTAAGGCCAGAAACTATCAAACAGAGGAAAACATAGGCAGAACACTGTATGACATAATCACAGCAAGATCCTTTTTGACCACCTCCTAGGTAAATGGAAATAAAAACAAAAATAAACAAGTGGGACCTAATGAAACTTCAAAGCTTTTGCACAGCAAAGGAAACCATAAACAAGACCAAAAGACAACCCTCAGAGTGGGATAAAATACTTGTAAATGAAGCAACGGACAAAGGATTAATCTCCAAAATTTACAAGTAGCTCATGCAGCTCAGTAACAAAAAAACAAACAGCCCAATCCAAACATGGGCAGAAGACCTAAATAGACATTCTCCAAAGAAGATATACAGACTGCCAACAACCACATGAAAAAAAGCTCAACATCATTAATCATTAGAGAAATGCAAATCTGAAGCAGCTGCATAGCACAGGGAGATCAGCTCTGTGTTTGGTGACAGCCTGGAGGGGTAGGATAAGGAGGGTGGGAGGGAGGGAGACACAAAGAGGGACTAGATATGGAAACATATGAATATGTATAACCGACTCACTTTGTTATAAAGTAGAAAAAACACACCATTTTAAAGCAATTATACCCCAATAAAGATGTTAAAAAAAATATAAAGCCTTGCCAAATGAAAAAAAGTTAGGTTATTATTTGAGATGTTTCCTTTTTTATATAGTAGGATTCTATTGCTATATACTTCCCACTTAGAACTGCTTTTGCTGCATCCTGTAGGTTTGTCCCCAGTAGCTGAAGTTGGTTCAGATGGTACAGGTTTCCTGGTGGAGGGGACTAGTGCCTGTGTTGTGGTGGACAAGGTTGGATCTTGTCTTTCTGGTGGGCAGGTCCACATCTTGTGGCATGTTTTGCGATCTGTTTGGATTTATGATTTTAAGCGGCCTCTCTGCTAATGGGTGGGGTTGTGTTCCTATCTTATTAGTCGTTTAACATAGGGTGTCCAGCAGTAGAACTTGCTGGTTGTTGAGTGAAGCTGGGTGCTGGTGTTGAGATAGAAATCTCTGTGAGATTTTCACCTTTTGATATTACGTGGAGCTGGGAGGCCTCTTGTGGACAAGTGTCCTGAAGTTGGCTCTCCCACCTCAGAGGCACAGCACCGACTCCTGGCTGCAGCACCAATAGCCTTTCATCTACACGGCTCAGAATAAGAGGGAGACAAATTAGAAAGAAAGAAAGGATAAAAAGAAAATAAAGTAAGGTAAAAGTAAGAAAAGAAAAAAGTAAGAAAAGAAAATGTAAAGTAAAATAAAAAATTATTAAAATAAATATTAAGAAAAAAAATTTTAAAGTAAAAATACAAAACAAAAAACCTGACTCATAGAACCTTAGGACAAATGGTGAAAACAAAGCTATACAGACAAAATTGCACACAGAAACATCCAGTACACACTCACAAAAAGAGGAAAAGGGGAAAATAACAGTAAATCTTGTTCTCAAAGTCCACCTCCTCAATTTGGGATGATTCGTTGTCTACTGAGGTATTCCACAGTTGCAGGGTACGTCAACTTGATTTGGGAGATTATTCTGCTGCTCCTGAGGCTACTGGGAGAGTTTTCCCTTTCTTTTTTTTGTTCGCACAGCTCCCGGGTTTCAGCTCTAGATTTGGCCCCGCTCCTGCTTGAATGTCGCTGGAGGGCGTTTGTTCTTTGCTCATATAGGACGGGTTAAAGGAGCCGCTGATTAGGGGCCTTTGGCTCACTCAGGTCGGGGTGATGGAGGGGTTCGGAGTGCAGGGCAATCGGGCGGTTGCAGGGGCCGGCGTGATGTTGCACCAGCCTGAGGTGCATTGTGCATTCTCCCGGGGAAGTTGTCCCTGGATCCCGGGACCCTAGCAGTGGAGGGCTGCCCAGCCTCCGGGGAGATGGTGTGTGAGAGTGATCTGTGCCGCACACAGTTTTCTTCGTGGTGGCAGCAGCAGCCTTAGTTTCTCATTCCCGTCGCTGGAGTCTGCACTGTTAGCCGTGGCTCGCTCCTGTCTCTGGAGCTCCTTTAAACAGAGCTCTTTTTTTTTTTTTTTTTTTTTTTTTTTTTTGTGTTTTGGGGTCTTCCCCCCGCTGCGGCCTCTCCCACTGTGGAGCATAGGCTCCGGACGCGCAGGCTCAGCGGCTGTGG